CTTTAGGGTTTGGGGCTTAGGGTTTAATGTTTAGGGTTTAGGGTTTATATAGGGTTTAGGGCCTGGCTGCGTGAGATGCGCACACAGAAGGACGTGTTCTGCAGTCCGACGCTCCACTGCCCTTCGTGCTCAGGTGACGTTAATACTTCTCCAATAACCTTAAGGCCCCTGTCCAAGACCTAACCTTAAACTCTAACCCCTAAACCCTAAACCCTAAACCCTAAACCCTAAACCGTTCAGGAAACCTTCACGGCAGCCTTGTTGATCCCGTAAACGAACCTCCGCAAACCAACCCTTAGAGGAACCCTTGAAGGATCCCTTGAAAGGAACCCTTGTAGGTCTCTTGAGGATCCCTTTAAGGACCCCTTGACGGAACCCATAAAGAATCCCTCAAAGTAATCCTGAAAAGCAGCCCTCGAAGAAACCCCAGAAGGATCCCCCAAAGGAACCCTTGAAAGGACCCCCAAAACGAACCCTTACACCAAATTCCCTAAAAGGATCCTCTCTAGATCCCTTTAAGGAACCCTTTACAGATCCTTTCAAGGATCCCTTAACAACCACCTGTACAGGAACCCTAAACCCTAAACCCTAAACCCTAAACCCTAAACCCTAAACCCTAAACCCTAAACCCTGAACCCCTTAGAGGAAACCTGAAAGGCCTTGCTTTGGTTTCGGCTCCCCAGGCTGCTGCGGAGGGAGGGTTCACCCTCAACGCCGTCCTGAGGGTTTAGGGTTTAGGGTTTAGGGTTTAGGGTTTAGGGTTTAGGGTTTAGGGGAACTTTTAGGGGTTTCGCGTCTTGTGTTGTTGGGGATTTTCGGGGCTCTGGGTTGAGGTTTAGGTTTTCGGTTGGATTTCGGACTTGGGGTTAGGAGTTTAGGGGTCTGAGGGTTTAGGGTCTAGGCTTTAGGGTTTAGGGTAGCGTCTTTGAATGCACTTCTCGATTTGTGGAGGGGGTAAAGTTTTGGGTATACCGTGTGTAAAGTTTAGGGTCGGTTCAGGGGTTTACCTACAGTCTCCAGTGTCGTTCCTTTTCTGGGTCACCCTATGTTTTTAAACAAAGAAAGAGCTACAATGCGACTGTAAGTAGGGTGTAGGGAAGACCGAGGTCAGTTTACAGGTGCTTTGCAGGGTTTAGGGTTTAGGGTTTAGGGTTTAGGGTTTAGGGTTTAGGGTTTAGGGTTTAGGGTTTAGGGTTTAGGGTTTAGGGTTTGGGGTTTAGGGCTTGATGTGGCGCTAAGGGTTTAGGGTTCGTGAAGGTGTCATAGGAGTTTATCAGGCTTCATATGTTATAGTTATAAGGGTATGACAGAACCTGATGCGGTTCTTGCGAAAGGTGCAAGAGCAAAAGGGTGTAGGGCTTAGGGGTTTGGGGGGCTCAGGTGTTGAGGGTGCCTCTCAAAACAACCCAGAGGAACCCAAATGTAAGGTCAGAAGGACCCCAACTGCCCGAAACCCTACTCCCTCAAATGCCCAAAACCGCCCATGCCTTACTTAATCAACTATTGAAAATGGTTGAAAGCGTCGTCATACCTAGGTTTAGGGTTTAGGGTTTCGGGCCGGTTTAGGGCTTAGGTTTAAGAGTTTAGGGATAAGTTGGTTGAATGCATCGTCACAGTAATTGATATGTGCATACATAGGCGTAAACTAAGAACACAACACACACACACATAGGTCACACGTTTTGATCATAACACAAATGCATCAAGAGAAAGAAAGCTAAAACTCAAACACGAACATCGGAATTCTAATAATTCTAAGGGGGATACAAACAATGAGGATGATAATACTGTGAAAAAAGCCATAACAAATGATGCGGATAACAATCAGCACATGGGTAGTTCTCTAAAAAAGGGTCCCTTTTAGGGTCCTTTTTATAAGGGTGCCGTACTGTTTTGGGGACCTAAAACGGGACCCTAATTTAGAGAACTAACCCTAAACCCTAAACCCTAAACCCTAAACCTTAAACCTAAACCCTAAACCCTAAACCCTAATGCTGCTCACATTCGGGTCTCCTCGCGGAAGGCCATGCACAGCACGGCCGAGGCCGCCTCCAAGTTGCCATGTGTCCGCTCAAAGGCCTCCATCTAAGGGCTTTAGGAGGGACCCTTAATAGGGTTTAGGGTTTAGGGTTTAGGGTTGAGGGTTTAGGGTTTAGGGTTGAGGGTTTAGGGTTTAGGGTTTAGGGCCCTTCATGACGACCCTTGTAGGCTATTGGGGTTAATATGGAGACTACCTGGCTATATAAGGGGTATATAAGGGTCCCTCCTAAAGTCCTTAGACTCCACGCGGATGGCCGCTTTTGTGTTATGGGGGCTTCGGGTTTAGGATCTATTGGGTTTAGGGTTTAGGGTCTATAGGGTTTCGGGTCTATAGGGTTTAGGGTTTAGGGTTGAGGGTCTAAAGGGTTTAGGGTTTAGGGTTGAGGGTCTATAGGGTTTAGGGTTTAGGGTTTAGGGTCTATAGAGGTTTAGGGTTTAGGGTTGAGGGTCTATAGGGTTTAGGGTTCAGGGTCTAGGGTCTATAGGGTTTTAGGGTTTGCGGTCTCTAGGGTTTAGGGTTTAGGGTTGAGGGTGAATTAGAAACCCCATGGGTCTTTACCAGGGTCCGTATATGAATCCTATTTTTTGGGGACATTGGGGCTTCAGGATTTTAGGCTTTAGGGCTTCTTCATGGCTTTCGGCTTTCGTGCTTGGGTTTCCACTTCTTGGTATGTAAAAGCTTCATGACGATGTAAGGCTATGTAAATCTTCTATGGCCACTGAGGGCATTGGGCGGTAGACGTTTGAGAGATTTTGATGGTTTTGTGAGCTTCACTGGATTCTAGTTATATGAGGGATTTTACTTAAGTTACCATAATAGGGATTCATACTGCTGATGGACAAAATCCTGCATGACCTTAAGGACCTTAAACTATGGGAATTATGGTATATTCCTTATGATGGGTAATGCAGGATTTTGTCCATCAACAGTGGTAAATAACATGATTTCCGGCTTCCTTATGAAAGCAACTTAAAGTGAAGATCCTTTAACAAGAACCCAGCTGAGGGCCTGCAAGGCGTTTACCTCAGGCCACCGAGCCCTAAACCCTAAGCCCTAAGCCCTAAACCCTCAACCCTATAGACCCTCAACCCTAAACCCTAAACCCTTTCGACCCTAAGCCCTAAGCCCTAAGCCCTAGATCCTAAACCCTTAGCCCTAAACCCTGGGCC